ACGGAGGAGTGGGTTACCATTAGCATCCTGGTCCTACTCCAGCGTAGTAGCAATCGTTGGCTTCTCGCACTCCCTCCGTCACTTCAGCAGCGTGCGGTTTGTCATGCCCACTTTGTTGAATTGTGTTGCTAAACTCTGGTAAACAGATTTCTGTGAGAAGTGGCTGCAGTTCAATGGTGGATGAAATAATCTCTTTATATAAATTTGTTTGTAGACCTCTGGGAAAACCGGCATAATATAATTGTAAGAATATATTTAATATTAAGGTTGTTGTGAATTGTCTTATTTATTTATTTATTTTGAGATTATTTTCATCCTTTTTTTGTCCTCTGTTTCGTGACAGTGATTGAAGTTTGCCATTTGCAAAGTCCACAGGTGCGGGGACGGGGGGGGACGTTCAGAACATCAGGAACAAATTAGTGGGGTCAGGCTTACTGGCTTTGGTGCTTTGACTTCTTTCAGAAGTATAACCATTCCTTGCCAAGACTTTGTAAAATGTGTCTGAAGATCGCGCTTTCATTCCAGAGGAAGAGTAAAATCCATGGTGGCGAAGACCACGTGGAAATGCCGTACGCTTGCATCTTCCTTTTCCGTTCCTATCGGGGCAGAGACAAAGCAAATGCGCGTTGGTCGTCTGTCGGTGGGAGACAATCTTTGTCGTTTCTGTTGTTCAATAAAACTTAACCCTCATTCATAAAGATTAAAAATCAGTTGCGCGTACTTCTAAAAATCCGCAGTTCCCTGGATTAGGAAAATAAATGTTCTGCTGTGAAGCCTCCCTTAAAAATCCTAACTGTATGATTTGTTGGTATACGTATTTTTCTATTAAAAAAAAATATCGCTGGCTTGAAAAGCAGTATATATGTAAAGGGAAAATTTGTTAACTGATATGGGAAGATCTAACCCTGGGTCACCTGCAAATCTCTCAAACAAGAGCTCCAGGGCAAGTCCTAATTCCAGGGAGTAAAAGCGAAAATTAAAGCTATAGCAAGTGACTCCTCTAAGTTACCCGGGGTGGATTCATTTGAGTTTCATTGATTGTGCTTGTGAATATAATGTGAAAGGGATGGTAGAGGTCTTCTCAGCCACTTCCCGTCCAAAGTATCTCCATGGAGACAGAAATATAAGCTGATGGTCTGTCAAAAGTTGCTTTTCATAACCAGAGGCATTCATTAAATAGTAGATGAAGCAAGAGGCAAACTTTTGCATTTTTAACCAACCTAAAAAAAAAATGCAGTTTGGAGAATGTGCTCTCTGGAGTAGTTTATCCAGACACCCCTGATATGTCATGAGCTGAGAAATAGGTTCTTAACGTGATATATTTATTCATCATTTGCCCTGCTTCTTCCAATTATAAATGTCACATGCAGTAAGTAAAAACACAGCAAATACAACACAGGTTCAAAAATATCAGAGAGCCCATCTAATCCTGGAAATTCACACCATTTCAGCTTTGGATGAAAAACTTCCAAAACCCTTCTGACCAACTGAGTTTTCCAGCCGGTCAGGGGCTTACAGGCGGTCTTCTGGCATGGCTGAGGGAGCATCTTGGTGGTTGTCCCCAAGATGAGAATGACGTTTTAATGAGCGCGTCAACGCGTTCCTCGATACTTCTAAAATGCACATGGTGCCTTACTTTGTCTTCCTTACAAGCCAGGTTTTCAGTTGTATTACTGCTACCCATTCCCTATTTGAAATTCTTCATGGAAGGTACGAAGCCATGGCAGCAATGGTCTCCTTCCCGATCCTGGGGAATGCGCCGCGCCAAACGCTCCGTCTTTCAAGCTGCAGCCACTGAGCTTGGATCCCTGGAGATGAACCTGCCTCCTGAACTCCTTATCTCCTGGTAGAGCGTGAAAACCAGACGGTTAGGGGAGGGGGGGAAAAAGGAGCGTGGGCGATCAGGAAGATAAAACATTTTACGTTGAGTACTTTTAAAACTGTTCTTAATGTGCTATAAAACTGGATGCTTCGCTTTTCCATGAACTGTGGGCAAAAGGAGAAGCACTGCCTGTAAAGTTGTCGTCGGTTGGGTTTGGTTTATAGTTGCAGAAGCTGCCCAATAAGGTGATCTTGGAAAAGGTAAACAACATAGTTTTAACGGTGAAAAATATGCCTAATATAAACAGGGCTGAGTTCATTGCTGTTCAGAACTTGAAAAATATGACTGTAAGGTTGCATTTTCTAGTGGAGTTAACAGAGGAGCACAGCGCAGCCGTACGAGCAATATATCCCAGACGGAGAAAATAGGTAATACATCTAACTGGGGAGTCTCTGTGG